GTGGGGAGGGCAAAAAAAAATGCCAAAATGCGGGGGGGGGGGGGCGCTGGTCATGCGTGCATGCGTGCTGAGGTCGTGCCTTGCATTCTGGGTGCGGCATGCCCGCGCACGACCCCCTTGCACTCGCCCCGCTTTTGGCATGTGAGTCAAAAAAGGTTCGCCATCACTGATCTATGCTGTATAGGAATGGTTGCATTACATTCAGCATATTAATGTTGCAGCCAGTAAATATATTTTAGAGCAAGCAGCAGTGAACTCCCTGTAGGTTTTCACAATCCCTGAAAATCCTAAATAATCAGAGATTATAAGGGGATTAAAATGCATTCCTATATACCCACCAAACAGTAAAGGTGCCAAAAAGTACAGTAAAGAATAACCAGAATACCTGAGGTATGCTTGCTCTAACAATTTTGACATTTAACCATAATGTTTTGAAATTTAGCCACTATACTCTATGTTGTGGTTGTGTAATTGAATAGCTATAGGAAGACTAGTCCCCTTACTATACAAAGAAATCACCAAAAAGTGCCATGAAAACCACCCACCTTTTGATCACAGTAGTTGTGGTTGCATAAGACAACTTGTTTATGTAATATGACTTTTTCTGGGTTTGCACCACACACTGAACAAGAAGCGCCACAAGCTAATTGAAAGGCAATGAACTTATCAAACAACAACATCTGTCTATCCTAGGTCCTTGGAAAGGACTAAACATTTGGCTGATTGTGCAATCCACAATAATAATAAGCTGGTGACAAAAGAAAGCAGAGAGCACCAATAAGGATAGGCTCCTTGGGTACCGTCGATGGGAACGCCATCGGCATTGGCAAAATCGCCACGAGTCAATTGCAAAAGGCAGCTTTGCCTGGAACTATCATGACATTCTTGGATGATAACTTTCGTGCCATTAGTTTATTTAATAAGTAAACCAGCTAGCTGTTGAGTGCTTGGGGCTAGTTGTTATGCCAATACCCCATTAAAAAATGAGCTAAGCCTTTATCCAAAGAGTCTGATAATACAGGAGAGAAGTGAGAGATGTGCCTACAGCACTATCACAAACTGGAAGCGAGCTTGAATGTCTTCTTGGAGACATTCATAGAGTGGAGTTTACATGTAGTAGCTGGCCCTGTCAATCTTAGAGATTTAGAGATTTAGAGATTTATTAACATTTATAGGCCGCCCTTTTCCCTGAGGGGACTCAGGGCGGCTTACATAAAATCAAGGAAGGGGTATACAAACAATAACGCAGACAACATAAAATAAAATAA